GCAGGAAGTTAACCGTATGTCTGGAAGCTGAAAGGCTTGTGCTCTGAAGAAAGGCTTACATTCTTAGACCAGGAGCACTACTGAGCCTGGACTTTGAGTTTCTAGTTACCAGGGAGAAACCAAAAGCTTCTGCAGTACAGCTGTAGTAAAGGATTCCAGTGTGGTCTGTTACACTTATTTTAAAGTCTACCTTCAAAAGAAGAGTCCTTATATAAGAAACATTATATATGAGCATCAGCACCTAAGCTGTCCAAGGGCCAAAAGCATCTTTAACAGAAGTTAACATCCAGAAAGACTCTTTCCATACTTTAAAAAGTGTGCTGGAAAGCACATAACATTCATACTTTGTCAGATAACATCACTAAATACTTTGCAAAACTTCCTCCTTGGAGCGTTTTATAAAGAGTAGTTTAAGAGAATATTTCACGCCACTCACACCTAAGAGTTGCTTTGAACTTGAGCAACTTCAGCAAGGCGCAGTAAGAGAGCGGCACAGTGGCAGCTATAGGCGGAGCAACCCTAGCACCAAGTTCATCCTGCACGAAAAAAGCAGAGCAGGAGTCTGAAGTGATCTTTACTCACTACAGTCAGGGGCAAGAGAGAAGACTTTATGAATCCAAAAACCACAGACTACCTTTTTCTCCAAATGCACCCGAGAGCATCTGTTGCTTGTCTTTAAACCCTTGTGTGAGAGAGAAGCCATTACTAATACCTTCATCCTCCTCCCCACCAGAGACAGCAAGACGGTCCAGCACAGTACTGCAAATGCCTGCCTGGAGAGGAGCAGCGAGTCCGGTTGCAACCCAGCCCCACCAGTGCCTCCCACCTACCTGATGATAGTGATGAACTGTGTCATGGTCAGCTCCTCGGGGACAAGAAACTTGGTTTTGTCCAAGAGAGGAAGGTATTTCTCTTTATGGTATCTCTCAACAATCACCTGTTTTAATTAGAGCCACACTTCAATTGGAGCATTACGCAACCCAGCCCCTTCCCTCCCCACACAAAGGCTCCCAACAGCCCCTTTTAAACAGCAATAACCCCGATAACAAAAACGAGACTTACCGGGATTTTTGTGGGGAACTTCGCCCGGATTCCAGCTACTTCCTCCAGCCGGGTGGCTGCGCGGGAGAGAGAAGAAGCGTTACGCGTGCGCGCAGCCCGCCGCATAGCCGCTCCGCGCACCCACCGCCCCTACCCAG